CATCATGTACAAGGAAGGCCAATATCATTAGACCATAGAATATATGTTGTTGTTCAGTCATTTTTCAGTCATGTCGGACTCTTCATGACCCCATTTGGGGCTTTTTTTTTTGGCAAAGCTACTGAAGTAGTTTGTCATTTCCTTCTCCAGCTCCTTTTACAGATGAGGAAACTGAAGCAAACAGGGTTAAGTGATCTGACCAGAGTCACACAGTCAGGAAGTATCTGAGGTCACATTTGAACTCAGGTCCTTCCAACTCCGGGCTGGCACTATCCACTGTTCCATCTAGCTTCAATTGGTAGAGGGAAATAAAGTGTAAGAAGACTAGAAAGGTAGGAAGGGGTCAGGTCATTAAGGTCTTTAACAGCCACACAGAGGACTTTATGCTTGATCCTAGAGATAATAAGGAGCCATTGGAGTTCACTAAGTAGGGTAGTGACATAGTCAGATGTGAGCTTCAAGGAAATCACTTTGGCAGCAGTGTGGAGAATGGTCTAGAGAAAGGTGAATCTTCAGGCAGAGAGGCTGACCAGAAGGCTATTGCAACAATCCAGGCATGAGATAATGAGGATATGTATCAATGAGATGTTATGTGAGTGAGAGAAGGGGACATATATAAGAGATATTATGAAGGTAGAAAAGACAAGACTTAACCAATTGAATATGTTGGGTGAAAGGGTGGGGTGAATACCAGGGGAAGCTAGAAAAGGGATGAAAGGGACTGAAATAGTTGCTGAATGATGTGGGGAGTCATTTTTCTTCTCAGAAACAGAACATGCTGGGTTTGAAAGGAAAGCCATGGCCCAGAAGAGTGAGTTTCCCTGGCTCTTGGGTGGCACAATTCATCTTACATTGCCTATCATTGCCTTCTGGTGGTCACAAGTTAATTGATTTACAGACCATTTTCTCCAGGTTTTATACAAAGGATGAACATTTTCTTGATGTCAGATGAAGGTGGAGATAGTACAGCATGAATTACTGTAACACATACCCATGGTGGCCACTAAAATCATGAGCTCAAATGGGCCCAGGATGACCATGCCCAGGGGAACTGATATTAATAGCTCATATCTCCTGGTCCAGTTCCAACTTTTTTCTGCCTTCTATCACAACTCTAAGATCACAGATACTGCCAGCCTTGATGACCAGAAAATCTGCATTTGAAGCCCAAACCAAGGGGTGTCCCATATCCTCAACATTAAGAAAGCACAGCCAAAATCACCAACCAGGTCTCTGGCTAAATAAGCTCTGTCCATTAATACACTGTAATCCTCTTCATTCCAAATTTATCTCCCCTTCTGGTACTACAGTTGGTCATTTAGCTGTACAAACACATCCACTGAACCTATTTATCTAGAGAGTGTTGCCTTGCCAGACAATTCTGAAATTATTTAACTCTTTCTTGACAATCTCTACTAACATTGCCCCCTAGCCTCAAATGATTCTCAATTATTTATTTGTGTATATTAGTAGTTATCTCTTTCTATTATATATTATTCCTTCAATGTGAAAAATACAGAGAAGTATAGAAAGACCTAGATGAATTGTGGCAAAGTGCAATAGGGAGAACAAGAAAACAATATACACAATGACTACAACAATAAACAGTAATTTTCAGGAAGAATCTGGGATTGAGAATAGCAAAGAAATTTTCCTCTTCCCCTTTGACACAAGCTCCATGAGAAAAGTGTGGTGGAAAAAACCCTAGATTCTAGATTGGAATCCTACTCTGCCATGTTTGTTATACAGGTGAGCTTTGAGAAAAATGAATTCATAAGAGAACACCAAGAATAGTCTCATAGAATAGGTAGGCATGGGTGGGATTTTTATGTTTCTCTGAACATTCAAATCAATGAGATCACAGATCTATCTGAGTATTTTGTAAATCTGAGTATCATTAAAAAAATTCCAAGAGAACAGAAAAAGGTACCTCATGCAACTATGGCTAAGAAAAGAGTTCATAGCCAAACAGGTTAGAAGTGATTACAGTCATGATCACCTGTGAAAGACTTGGCTACTCTGATCAGTACAATAATCCAAGATATTCCAAAAAACTCATGATGAAAATGCTAGCCACCTCCAGAGAGAAAACAGATGAATTTTGAGTGCAGAATGAAGCATAATTTTTTTTAATTTTCTGTATGTTTCTTGGGTTTTGCACATATGTTTTCTTTCATAGTGTGGCTAATATAGAAATATCTTTTGCATGATTTCACATGTATGGTCAAAATCGTATTGCTTGCCTTCTTAAGGGGTGAGGGAAAGGTTGGAAAAAGGGAAATATTTTAGAACTCAATTTTTTTAAATGAATGCTAGAAGTGATTACAAAAGATAAAATAAACAATTTTGATTACATAAAATTAACAAGGTGTTTCATGAACACAATCACTGCAACTAGAATAAGAAGAAAATTGTTTATGTGGTGGGGAGCAGAAATCTTGATGTTGAATATGTTTGACAGATTAGATATCCAAAATATATAGGGAGTTGTTACAGATGCATTAAAAACTAGAACCATTCTCCCAACAGATAAGTAATCAAAGGATATTGACAAACAGTTTTCAAAGGAAGAAGTATAAACCAAAAACAATTAAATGAAAGAATGCTCAAAATCACTGATAAGAAAAATGTCAGTAACATCTCTGAGGGGGGTCTTGCCTTGTGCTTAACATTTTGGCAAAGATGGCAGAAGGCAAAAACAGCAAAGTTTAGAGTGGTTATGGGAAGATAAGCACATTAATGAATTGTTGATGGACCTGCCCTGGAAAATAACTTGGAACTATACTAGAAAAACCACTGATTTGTGTATCCACTTTGACACACTAATACCACTAGGTACATTCCCCCAAGAAGCACAAAGCCTCCACATAAACAAAAACATTTGTAGCAGCACTTTTTCTGTTATTGAAAAACTGGAAACAAAGTACATGCCTATTAATGAGGGAATGGATGAACAAATAATGGTATGTGAATATAAAAGAATATTAATGTGCAGTAAGAAATGATTTTGTTAGAAGAATATGGAAAGACTTGGACTGTCAAGGCAGATGTTATCCACCCTCAGAAAAACAGAAGATAAGCTAGTACAGTCTTACATAGATGTATATAAATGCATATGTCCATATATGAATACAATTATAGATATCTAAGAATATCTATATGTATGTAAGTGTATTATGTAAGTGTATATGTGTTTATATGGCTATATACATTTATGTGTGTGTGTACGTATGCATATATGTAAATATAAATATATTCATGCTTAATTATAGCCTTCTTGGGGAGACGGGGAGGAAAGGGGAAAAAAAGGACAAAGTAAAAAGTATACAGTTAAGAATAAAAGAAAACTTACAAAAAAGCAAAGAAAAGATGGAGAGCTCTGAACACAATATGTAGTATTTATCATATAGGTTTTCTTGAAATGGAAATTTTTTGCTGTATATTTTGAATCTTCTCTTACATTCTGTTGTGCATACAGCAATGCTTTTATTTTATTTTCTTATTTTGTATTTGTTTTAGTATTTAGGTGTATAATGTTTCCTTTTCTTATTGTGTATTTAAGTTTAAAATAAATTAATAAAAAAAGAAATTATTTTGTTGTTGTTCAGTTATTTTTCAGTCATGTCTGACTCTTCATCACCACTTTTGGAGTTTTCTTGGCAGAGATACTGGAGTGGTTTGCCATTTCCTTCTCCAGCTCATTTTACACATGAGAAAACTGAGGTAAAAAGTGACTTGCCCAGGGTCACACAGCTAATAAGTATCTGAGGCCAGATTTGACTCAGATCTTCCTGACACCAGGCCCAGTGCTCTATACACTGCCCCACCTAGCTGCCTATAAGAAATAACAATATGAAGTAGTTAGAGAAATTTTGGGAAAACCTTATAAACTGATGCAAAGTGAAGTGAGTGGAGCCAAGAAAACAATTTACACAATGACTAAAATAATGTAAAGGAAAACAATGTTGGATATATCAGAACTCTTATCACTGATATACGCAATCTTAGGAAAGATGGTGCTATACAAGACCCACCTTTCAGCAGACAGATGGTAGATTATAGGTATGGAATGAGGCAAGCATGGTGAGACATAGCCAATGCACTGCTTTGTTTGCTGTAACAATACTTTTTTTTTTTAAGGAAAGGGTCTGTGTGGGGCAGAAGTCATTGGGAAGTGACAGAAATGTTTAAAGGTATCAATAATAGATTGATTGCAAATGTTTTAAAAGCACTCCTACAACTATGTCAACTTTTCTCTCTTTAAATAATTTTTACTTTAAACAATAACAATCTCTACAAATTCCAATAATAAAAAGCAAAATGAGGAATAAAATCCCAAATAAAATCTTAAACTACAAACTGTTTATATTTTAGCTTTTAAAAAAATACAATTATATGACAAAAAAACTTCACTCTGCATCTCAATCTCTTTTTTTTATCCATGTACTTAAAAATTTTATTGCTGCCATTCTTTTTAGATAGTTACAGTAATATGTATGTGATTCTTCCTTGTGTGGTATCATTCCATATACAACTTTCCATATTTCTTTGCATTCCTTATTTTTGTCCTTTTATAACATAATTATAGTGTGTTTCATTAATATACCACAATTTATTCAGTCATTCTCCAATCATTGCATATACAGGTTGTTTCCAGTTTTTTTTATTATTATTACAGATAGAGACACTAGGAATATTTTTGTAAAGAGGTGTTTTATTTCCATTTTTAATAACATCCTTCAATGTAGTCCTAATAGTGGAATCATTGGGTCAAAGTTTATGATTAGTTTTGTAATTTTTATTTCATCTAGGAAGACTTCCCTCCAAAATGATTGCATCAATTTACAATTCCACCAACAATATTCTACAGTGCTGTTTCCCCATATACCTGACAACTTTGGATTTTATTGTTTTTAACTATCTTTGTTATTTTGATGAGTTAAGGGTGACACCTCTGAATTGTTTTAATTTGCATTTCTCTGATTATTATTGCATATTTGAAAAATACAAAATGCTTCATAAACTTGCAAGCTATCCTTATGCCAGGGAAATGTTAATCTTTTCTATATTGTTCCAATTTTATTTAGTATATGTGTCACCACAAAAAGTACCTGGGTCAGTTTCCCAATTAGCTTAATTACCTTATCCAAGTAAGGTCTAAAGATTGTGTTCACTCTCTAATAAGTCTGGAAAGTACAGCTTGTCTGGAGCTTTGCCCTGCTTCTTTCCTGTCCCACAGACAAGAGCATCTGCTGCCTCTGTCTACGTGTTCTCCCCACGCTGATCCAGAGGATGCTTCTCAACATGGCAGCAGAGACAACTTGCTATTGCCATAGCTTGGTTTAACCTAGTCACATTAAGATGCTCATGTTTAGAGTGAAGTGAGCAGAACTAGGAAAACGTTGTACATAGTAACAGCCACATTGTGCAATGACTAACATTGAAAGACTTAGCCCTTCTCAGCAATTCAAGGATCTAAGACATCTCCAAAGGTCTCATGATGGAAAATGCTATCCACATCCAAAGAAAGAACTATGGAGTTTAAATGCAAATCGAAGCATACTGTTTGCCCTTTTTTTCCTTCTGTTTTGTTTCCTTTTTCTGGTGGTTCCTTCTGTTGGTTCTAATTCTTCCTTGCAACATCACTAATGTGAAAATATGTTTAATAGGAAAGTATATGTAGAGCCTATATCAGATTACTCGCCATCTTGGGGAGGAAGGTTGGGAGGGAGGAGGAGAAACATTTAAAACTCAAAAGCTTATGGAAGTAATTGTTGATAAATCAAAATAAATAAAAAAAACATACTCATAATACCTCATTCCCATCTCTGGCTGTCCTGCTTCACAGCAAAGCATATGCATATGGGCTTTCTCTCACAACTCTGTGGCATGGGTATATTTAACATGGAGGAAACACTTCCTTCCATTAAGGACTACAGGAAGTTGTGAAACTGGCCTGCCCACAACTCAAAACACAAAATGGGGTGATGAGGAAGAGGTGCCATGGATGCTATCAAAGAATAAGAGATTTGTGACATACCCTCCCAGCCATCAGAAATTTGAACCGAAGAGTTCAAGGTCAAAGACACCAAGATGGCATGGTGTCAGCAGGCTCTTCCTTTGATGTCTGCCTTTGAATCTATTCACTCTGCTCCATCAATGATCAAGTTGGCCACGAAGATCCAGGGCATCATAAGATATGCACCACCTCTATGAACTTCAGTCCCACAAAGGGTTACAAGTTGACACTCCATGACATGAAGTGGTGCCAAGACCCATTTCTAGAGTTCCTGAGCCTTCATCTAATGACTAGTTCTACTATATGTCTGAACAAAACCTCAGTTGAGAATTATGCTTTGCTCACTCACAGAAGAAATAGTGGGAAACTAAACAAAATGAATTATGCCTTTCCAAACTTCTGAGTTTGGAACACCTTAGGAACTTTGTATTGGTTACCTGAGTCTAGGAGAAGTTGAGAGCATGTGAAACTGCATGATATAAGTCTTATTTTATGTTGTCTTAGTGTTACTATTGTTTCAATGCCCAGAGTAAAGCACAGCACAAAGGTAAGATGTTCTGTTCATTTCATGGGAAGGTGACTCAATGATTTCTCAGTCCCTTCCAGCTCTATATCAATGGTCTTATGGTCTTATGACTCAGACTAAATGAAACAAACTAAGCTTAAGAAAGAGGCAGGGTTTTGCTGGTAGGAACTCAAGAGCTAATGCTAATTGGGCATATCCAAATTGGGGCAGTTAGGTGGCACAGTAGATAGATCTTGGGGCCCGGAGTTGGGAAGAATCATCTTTCTGAGTTCAAATCTGGCCTCAGACACTTACTAGCTGTATGATCCTGGTCAAGTCACTTAACACTATTTGCCCCTGTTTCCTCATCTATAAAATGAACTGGAGAAAGAAAAGGCAAACCACTCCAGTACCTCTGCCAAGAAAACCCCAAATTGAATCTTAGAGTCAGACACAACTGAAAATAACAGATCAACAATAAAAACCTATCCAAACTAACCATAGTCCCTGGGCCAATGAGACAATGTGGCTAAAAAGAGGTAGAATTAGGGGAAAGAAGGTCTTCTAATCTTCACAACACCTCTTAAATGTGCTCTTTCTCTCTTCTAACACTGCTACCACCCTACAGGCCCTTATCACCTCACACCTGGACTACTTCAGAGCCTATTGATTTCCCCACCATAAACTTCTCCTCCACCCTAATCTATCTTTCATTCAGCTGTCAAACCAATCTTCTTACAGCACAGATCTGACCATGTCACTCTCAGTAAATTCTAATGGCTTCCAATCACCTCCAGGATCAAATATAAAGTCCTCTATATAGCATTCAAAGACCTTCATAACCTATCTTTGCATGACCTACCTTTTGAGTCTTCTTGTACCTTACCCCCAACTACTCACTCTTTGATCCAGTGGCACTGGCCTTCTTCTTGTGCCTAGAATAGCATACTATCTTCCAAGTCAAGGCATTTTCACTGACTATTCCCCATGCCTAGATTGCTCTTCCTCCCCATCTCTGCCTCCCGGCTTCCCAACTTCCTTCAAATCCCAGCTAAAAACCCACTTTCTAAAAGAAATCTTTCCCAATCCCCCTTAATTCTAGTATCTTCTTTCTGTTGATTACTTCCAATTTATCCTGTATATAGCTTGTTTATATACTTGTCTCTCCATTAGATTGTGAGCTCCTAAAGAGCAGAAACTGGGGGGAAGTGAGGGAGGGATTGCCTTTCTTTAGGAGGAGGAGGAAGAAGAGGAGGAAAAGCCATGAGCAGAATGACCCTAGAGTATACAGATAATCTGCAATATGTACAAGTCTTATGCAGAAACTCTAGGTGAAAAATGGAGTCTATTACCTTTCTTACCTACTCTAGGGGTGACCTTAGAGAAGATAGATCCAGAACTGGACTTGAATGAAAAAGGACCATAGTTGACAACTCAGATAAGTTTCAACTTTACTATTAACTTCTAAAAAGAAAAACACAAAGACTTATTACATATTCATACTGAAAGCTGATTGTTGTTGTTTGTCCTTCATTCTCGAAGAGGACCAATGACATCAGGAAGGTGATGTCTTGACTTGCAAGTGAAATGGATTTAGGTGAGGCAGAGATCAAAAATTTAATAAATAGCAAAGATGGGACTTGAAAACTGGACTCCAAATTCCTAGACTAGTGCTATTTGATCCTTTCCTCTACAAAACAATTTCCACTCTTCTCTACCCTTAAAAACATGCCATTTTTACTCTAATTACTCTGTAAAGCCTTTCTCTTTGAATATAAAAAAAATAAATTACCTTATTTTGTAGAAATTCTCTTCTCTTGGGTATTCACTCTCCCTAAGTAATATTTTTTTTCATAAGCAGCCAGACACTCAAATATTCAAAACTTTAGGGAGTTAATCTCTTTTCCTATCTACTATTGGTCTCTTGGCAAACCAAAACAATTTTGTTTCTCTTATATACAATCCACTCTTGTTAATTTTATATACTCTTTCAATACTTGATACCTATGACAAGGAGACCAAAGAGCCTAAAAATCATTTATTTGTTAATGGAAGATAATGATAACTATGGGCAATACTGATTTGAATATAAATGTTTATAAAATCTTATAGGAGAGGCAGCTAGGTGGCGCAGTAGATAGAGCACCGGCCCTGAAGTCAGGAGGATCTGAGTTCAAATTCGGCCTCAGACCAAACACTTGACACTTACTAGCAGTGTGACCCTGGGCAAGTCACTTAACCGCAATTGCCTTAAGAAAAAAAAAAATCTTATAGGAAAGAAATCTGATAGAAGCTTATGAGTAATATCACCACATAAAACACACAGAAATTGTAGAGCGTAATGCCAGTTTAAAGAAAACTTAGTGAGAAACCTAACAAAGCAAAGATATCTTGAAGATGTTTACAGATAAAATTGGGGGGAAATGGAAAAGAATAAAAATTTTGGTCTGGGTTTTTTTTTTCCTAAGAAAATTCCTTCATCGACATGTACAGTAGAGACCATGAGACTTGAATTCTAATCTAACAGTCCAAAATGTACTTATGTACGATATAGAAATGGTACTTAGAAGAACATAGATGGGAAAAGCAGCTAGATTAGATCAATGCTACATAAAGGAGATCTGTGCTTAAGGCAAAATAATTGTAAAGGTACAGAGGAATTTCATTTCAAGATATCTGAAATAGGTAAATATACCAAAGAATAAAAAAAAGTTCAGACTTTTTTAGTACTCACAAAAGGCAATGGTTCTATTTCATTCAGTTTTTATGAGAATAATCTATATGCACCTCAAAGGCATTCTTTTATTTATTTATTTATTTATTTATTGTTAGTTTTCAACATTCACTTTTATAAGATTTTGAGTTCTAAATTTTTTCTATCTCCCTCTTCTTTCCCCTCCCCAAGACGGCATATAATCTGACGTAGGTTATAATGTACAATCATATTAGGCATATTCGAAGGCATTCTTAATGAAAATATTAGAAGAAAAGGGGTAGGTTTTCACAAGTAATATTTCAAGTAGACCACATCTTTGTCTTTACACAATTGACCAAAATATATAGAAAATATCAGATTTCATTGTGTTTATTATGAAAATTGTTGACTATAGAAAAGCATTTGATTTTGTTGAGCTTTAAAGACTCTCCTCCAACAAGGTACCTCCCATTTATATGTTAAAAGTATATGAGTGTAATACTCTATTTGGTGTTCTTCCTCAATTTGCCTCACACTTGCAGGCTGGCTCCGTAGAAGACAACTGCTTCCTCAAGTTCTATGTATAACCCTGTGGATGGCTACTTCTACTAATATAGCTCATAAGTCCCCATTGGTGTGCTCCCCCATTAACCATCAGCCAGACCTAATTATCTCTTAGTAAAGGCATTTACTCATATAGGACAGCAAGAATAGTAGTTACCAAACATTCTCCCCATAAACCAATATACACATCATACATGAGAATATACATAAACCTAAAGTAGAGTAGTAGTGAGGCACACATGTAGGACCTAGGTGTGCCAAAGACAACTCCTGGTACTACAAGGCTTGGAAGTCCTTTCTTAAGATAGGATCCTCTTGCTC